GTCTTGCCCCTACAACTACATTGCCAAAAGGTCTGCTCTCATTACTGAAAAGTTCCCTGTTTTCATGAAGTGAAATGTTTCAGATTAATTCTCTAGGTGGGAGCTCAGTTCCTAATTTTAAGAACTTTGATATATATGAATTGTTATTTCTGAATTCATTGAAATGCACACCCCAATTTGTTTCTTTTAAAAACAGCTTTGCAGTCTACTGATTTGTTCTATACTGCTTTCAGAACATTGTCAATTTACTTTATGATATAAATGTTGCACTCTCCTTAAGCTAATATTATGTCTGGTAACCAGCAAAGATAACATTTCCCAAACTAAAAAACTGTATTTACCAACTATCCACAATGTATAGCAAGTCATCTAAGAATCAATAATAATATATTAAGTTTACAAGATTTTTTGGTAAACATATCTCAAGTACAGAAAGGAAATGACCAAATAAATTACACTAAACACAGCAAGACAAGATAAAGGTAACAAAAGATACTTGAAGTAATTATTAACAAAAAGTAAAACAATGAAAGATTTATAGAGGAAATTAAAAACTAGTTCATAATCAGCACATTGTACAAGTAAAGCAATAACTGGCTCCTTTAAGAGGCAGAATCTGTTCTCTATTGCCCCAGCAGCAACAAAAATATTTCTGTGTTTCAAATATTTAGTTGACATATCTAATAAGATGGGGGCAACAAGTGAAATACTCTAATGATCAACATTTCTATCCTATGTCCCAATTTCTCGTGTCTTAGTATATACCACCAGAGCCCTCAGTATTCCACACCTTTTCCCTACTTTGCCTTCTGCTCCAGGTGCCACCCTGGAGCCCCTCCCTGCCAAGGCCGGCACTCCCAGTTTAGGCGGTGATGGGAGTTCCCCGCAGACCTGTTGGGCTCCACCCTAACCAGCCGCAGTCAGAGCTGAGCGACACCAGGACCTCTCCCGGGATGGGAACGTCCTGCTTTTGCAGTCCAAGGGACGAGAGACTGGGACCAGCAATCGATACAACCCATTTTAACCAGCAAGAGCCACCTAGTAATACCTTGTTTGTATTTCTTGAACGAGTGACACAAGAAACACTTATTTCATTCCACACAATAATTCACCACAATCAGAAGGAGCACAGTAAGGGCAACACCATCTCCCAGCTGCTGATTACATCAAAGGTTTGCAGCACAAATTCAATTTTATGATGTTAATCTCAACCTGCCACTCAGAAATTTTCTCTGAGGGATATGATTTTTTTCTCTGGATTTCATTTTAAGAATGATTTTCTTCTTCTACAATCAATAAAGATATGTTTTCATCAAAAGACTCTATCTTGGCAGAATTCAATTGGCCATCTCAAAACCTTTTGGTGACACAATATTAATTAAAATAGTTTATGTTGCACCTAAGCTGGAAAATGGGGCAGTGAAAACATCAGCAACTCAGAATACTTGTGCTTTTCTTACTGTCACATGGCACAGTAAAATAATCCACACTTCCCTGAAGTTATTGTTTTACCCCATGAACTGTTACATTATATTAAGCTCCTAGAAAAGTCTCTCAACGTGCTCTTTTGCCGAGTAGATAAATTAAAAATGTGTGCAAAAATATGAATTTCCACTCTCTGAATGTCATTAAAGGCTTCAACAATAATCAACTATATCGTAGTTCTTTAAACACGTTAGACAACAATTAATGCATGTGAGCTAGCAAAGGTGGTTCTAAATCACATATATCAAGGATATAAACCAAGTTTGTTTGAAAAAAGAAATACATTATACAAGTGTATGTGGAGCCATAAAAGTTGTCTTCTTTAAAGAAGTGTTTGAATGTCCTATCAGCTACAAGAATAGTCATCTACAAGAAATGATACATTGCTTAAGCACTATGCAGAACTACTAATGTGAGTTATTTGCCCCTTTCAAAGCCTTAAGCGCAGAAGTATCACTTAAGTCATCTTCAGTGGAGTTACTCACATCCAAATGGTGAAATGCTTTGCTGCAGCAGAGTTTAATCAGGTTTTAGGACATTCACCCATCAATTCTCACAGGAAAGGACATGTGATAGAAAGAGCCATCGATTTCTACAGAATGTAAGATTTCTGTGAACTTGCATCTTACTTAAAGACAGATCTTGCCCTTAGTTTTATATATATTCAGTCATCCCTATCTTTATCGAAAGTAACAGTTTTCTATGTGAGGAAGTGCTCCTTCCTCATGCTAGTAAAGAGATAGCTCCCTTCATTTTCTCAATTATAAATTTTCTTTTGAGCAGAGACATTTATGTCCTTGAAAGAGTCGATGATGCCAACATAATCCCACACAAATCAAAGGGCCTAGTAAGGTAGTACCTACTTGAAGCTTATGGCCTACATAACTTGAAAAGTGTAGAGTGTTACAAACTTGAAGTCTCTGCCAAGACTTCCCATAGCTGTAAGCAAAAGTCACTTGCAAGAGTTTTAATAGACTTTCATTTTCATGAACCAGCCATAACAGAATTCATTCTTATTTACTCTGCTTTAACACAGAAAATAAACAATCAAGTAAAGACACATAAAACTTAAAAACAAATTTACAAGAACATCAAACGGAGGCAATGAATATGAATCAAAGCTTTAAATCACTAATTTTGTCTTCCTTAAGTGACCTTGAGCTCATTTAAGAAAAAAAAAACCCGTTGATCAGAGAGAAGTAATATTTTTGGTTCAGCTACACTGTACTCGGGGATGTTTAAATAACAAACAAAACTAGAATCAGACACTGGAAATAAAACAAAATATATCCTCTGCCTTTGTTTTTTGGATTGTGATGTAATAATCATTAATCACTGTTGTAATCAATTGCATCATAATGAGGATTTCTAAACTCTGACAAGAAGAACTACTTATTTTTCCATTTCACTCTTAAAATACTCTCAATTACTAAACATCTCTCTGCAGTGTTCTTTGCTATGGGGCATGCAGCTGTTTGCTGTAAACAACTCCAAATGATTTATTATATGTACAGTCAAACCTGCTCAAGTAAAAAGACTCTGTTTATTATGAAGCAGGATCAAAGTCCAAAACTGATCCAATGTATTGCAATGCATGGATTGCAGCTTTCATTACAGTGAACTTCTAATTCTAACACTGAAAAGTTTTTAATGAGAAAAACCTGATCTTGTCATGTAATCAATCCTACTGACACAAACCTCTTGAGCAGAACTACCTCACCACGACAGCCATTTTTGCAATGAGTAATTCCAGAAAGCCCATAGTTCTGTATCACTGGCATCACTGATATACTAAAGTTTCATGATATATTAAGAGAACACTACTACAGTTCCCAGCAGTGACTAGGAAAGTAATCCTGACACAAACACAAGGCTCTAAGTGAGCCATTCTAATTAATTTCATAGTTGAGCAAGTCTCAAGAAAAACCTCCAAGCAAAACTATTTTCACGAGTAACTAGAACTCCTGTAAAAAATAATAAAAGTGTTTCTACTCTAAAGCTTTGCATTTATTTGCTAAGAAATCACTAAAATAGCACAAAACTATTTTTCCATTTCAAGGAGCTAATATCTTGAACTCTGTGCCTCCACATTAATGGTTTTCTCCAAAAAAAATCCAGTGAATAGATATACTCTAAGACAATTGATGGAACGCATACAATTCACTAGACTACCTTGGAAACAGAAGTTACAGACATTTATCATCAGAGCTAAAATACAACGAAGTTACGTAGTTGATGCTAAATACATAGAGGACATCAGAACCCCCAGAAACTTGGATGAAGTTTGCCCAAGAAAGAAAGAACAAACGCCGCACCACCCAGAGAAGGCTTCGCACGCACCGAAGAGCTCCGTGGAACCCAATGTCACCGCTCCTGGCCACGGCGACACCCAACCCCATCCCCGGGGGAGCGGAGCCCGGGGCCGCACGGGGCAGCCCCTCCCAGGGACGGGACCGGGAGCGAGCGCCGGGCTGGAGCCCGGGGGAGAAGGGGGCTGAGACGAGCAGCCCCTGCCTTACCTCCAGCGGGGGGGCAGGACCGGCCGAGGACAAGGGGAGGGAGCCGGGACGGGTTTTATCGCACTCGAGAGCGGCAACACCCAGCGAGGGCGGTGCGGGCCGGCGCCAGCTCGGTGTCCCCGCCACCACCGCCCTCCTCTCACCGGGCTATCGGGGCCGCTCCCTGCTCTGCAGTGGCGAGGGGGAAACACGGGTTGGAGAAGAGGTACCTGGGAACAGCGGGGCTGCGGCTTCTCTGTTCACCCGGTTGCCCAGCACCAGCGGTGGGATAAACCCCCGAGGGCTCAGCTGCTCCTTAAAGACACCCCCGCCGAGTAATGAGGCGCAGGAAAACTTTCACCTGTTTGCCCTTACCTTAAGTACAGTGAAAGGAGTATTTCCGCTCTCGGGAGGCGGGGGCAGTGTGATTTCCCACAGGTGTGGGCACCAGCAGCTGCTGGGTGTGGTGCCCACAGAGCCGGGCACTTCATGGTGTGCAGGCTGTTGAGGATGTGAGTTTTGTAAGTTCAGGCATTTCTGTCTGAAATATAAACTATAGTGAATAAATACATTAGGAAAGTCAAGCGTGATGTCAGTTCAGTAGTCTTCTTCTTCTTGGTTCCTAGGTTGGTCACAGAGAAGCTCAGGTCTGCAAGAGATTCTTGTGAGGGGGCCAAGCCGGACTGGCTGTAAAGTATACACGTGAGCTCATCTGAACTGCTGAAATACTTAGTCACAGTCACATCTAGGGCTGCAAAGAAAATCATGAGACATCATTATATTAAAAAAAATATTTAAAATCATCTCTTCTTAAATTTGTTTGCCTGATGCTTTTCAATCTTTTTAAAAAAATTACATTGAAATCCCCAGGGAATTGAAAGGATGCTAAGAGATTTAAGTATATATTTGGTGCCTATTTTAATGTAATAAATGCCTATTTTAATGTAATAAATGTGGTAGCTAATGTATGCAATGTTTTTATTTTAGCATTATTGAATTTGCATTTACACTAAGACTATTTGCTCAAGACATCTGACTCAACATAAATAATAATGTTCTCAAATGTGCTTCATAGTCTGCATCAACACGCTACATTTTATAGGTAAGCAAATACAATAAATAAAAACAAAAGCCTATAAAGTTTTTAACATGCTGAACCATATTTCCTGCAAACTTTTTTTGTTGTTCTAGTAGTTTTGTAGTTTGGATTTCAAACTATTTTTAGTACAATAAAATAAAAGACTTTAAAGATCAGACTTCTTAAACCACATCACTTTATGAATTCTTTTAAGTAGACAAGTCCTGAAAATGGAAGTTCAATATAAAGGGTGATGTTTGATTAGTCTGCATTAGGCCCAGTGTAGAACAGTGAAACATGGTATCTCAGGTGAAAACTTAAAAAGGTGTCTCTTTTCTTGGCTTGTTTATGGAGATTTTAGTAATAATCATATTGAAAGCAAAATGAGAGTATACAAGTCAACATGCTTTAAAAATCATAATACTGCTTTTCTCAGAAAAGGGGAACACTGGCCCTTTAAAGTCAGTAGTGATAATTGGAGCTTCAGCTAAAGTTTTTGTAGTCAAAAGATGCTTATCAATACAGTGAAATAATTGTATGAGACCAAGTAGCCTAATGGATAAACTAGATATTGCTTGTGCTTTTTGACACTTTGTGTGAGTTGTGAATTCTGCCTGTGAACCTAAATAAATTATTTTGACAGCCTCTCCTTAATCATCAATACCTGGAGGTTTCCATAAGAAAACCTGTCACATACATTTTAGCACAATTTGACACAAAGGGAAGGTCACACCAAAGACCTTAATTGCATCTTTTGCTCAGACAGGGTCGTGAAACTGTGATTCCTATTTTGTCTTTCAACACCATACTTGTTGCCTTGGTAGAACAAATCACTCCATAAAAGTAATACACATTAATATCATATAAATATATTTCATAGAATCACAGAATGGTTTGGGTTGGAAGGGACCTTAAAGATCATCTAGTTCCAACCTTCCTGTCATGAGCACCTTCCACTAGACCAGGTTGCCTTTCAACCCTGACCTTGAACACTTCCAGGGATGGGGCATCCACAGCTTCTCTGGGCAACCTGTGCCAGTGCCTCACCACCCTCACAGGAAAGAATTTATTTCTAATATCCAGTCTAAATGTGCCCACAAACCATTCACCCTCATCCTGTCATCACATGCCCTTGTCAAAAGTCTCTCTCCAGCTTCTTTGTAGGCCCCCTTCAGGCAGGAAATAAAAAAATTTGCTGAAAATTGTTTTGTTCACATTCTGCTATTCTTTTAAAAATAATGATTTGGCTCTGAAAAAATTGCCTGATTTATAGATATCACAAGATTTTTAATATAACATTATTCAGTGTTTCAGAACTCTGTTGTAATTTCTTTTAAGAGACCAGAAAGTGAGATTTTGAGGCATGTTTCAAGAACAAAATCTAGGATTTTAGGCATAATTGCCTTGACTATGAGGGTGAAACAATAATTGAAATCATTACTATAACTTTTGCATGTTATTTCTGAAAGTGTTGATACGATGATCAGGTTCACAGAAGTCTGATTTATTGCTGTTTTCCTGTGAAATGCTCCCTCACTATGTCCCTTTCTCACTATCCCTGGTTTAGACATCTCATTATTTCCTTGAGCAAAGAGAGTCATGGAATGGTGCTGTTGTGCCACTGAGAAATCCCATGTAGGCCATAGCAGGTGTAGGCAAAGTACTTAGATGAGGTTAAAGATTTGATCCTTAATTATTTTTATGATGTTCAGTATTTTTTTAATGTAAATACTTCATTTTTTTTACACAAGTAAATATACACATACACATTAAATTGAAAATGTTGTGGCAAAAACAAGACTTATACAGGAAGACAGAATTACAAAGACTAAGTATTCATATATAATTTCCTGTTTTGTGGCCCTGGTTCTTGGCAAGAGCCTGCATTATGGGGAATACAGAATGAACAGACTCATCAACCTCCCTGCTGTGATACCAGCTGGGTTTGCATATGAAAACAAACTATAAGAATTACTTTGGCTCTAATTTTCTGAATAACTTGTGATGTTTACAGAATATTCTTGATTTGGAATCTGTAATAAATCAGCATTAGGCAAGGGCAGTTCAGTGATGAACACACATACAGAGGAAAAGGGTGGAGACAGTGAACAATGTAGACATGGGAAAAATCTCTCCTGAGGGAAGTAAGACTTTTTTCTAAAGTGAATTTTCCACACCACAGCTACAGAACTCAGTTGTTAGTTGTATTCCTTGAGCATTGCTCTCACAGGCTGTTACAGAAGGCTTGCATTCTAGTTCTAATCCTTAATTTTTGGTCTGACATGCAAACCACTTCATCTCATTTTATCCCAACATAATTCTTTTTAACAGAAGGGGTAAAATGAGGTTTTTTAAAGTATTTTTCAGATTCTTTTGTTGAAGAGGATTTATCTTGGCTTGGTGAACTAGTGCTAGATTCAGAAAGGCAATGTTACATTACAGAGTTGGGTATTCAACTACTTGGAGACACTGTGCAGCTAATTTCCCCATTGGTGGTTTATTTTTCTCATCTGTAATTTCATAAAAATTATATTTACTTCCCTTATGAAAAGTCTTGACAACTACTAGTGAAAAGCATTTCAAAAACTTTGAAAAAACTTCAGGAATGTGAAAAACTGGGCCTGTTTCTTGAGATCTGGGGTTGTATGAACCTGAACTTGTATATTCATACTTCTCATTAAAAACAATATTGGGCCACTATTTTATTAACCATTCAGGTCATATAATAATTTCAGTCATCCAATAATTAATTTCTCTAGTTTTCTTCCCTTCAGCTTCTTTTGAAATTTTTTCCTCTTTATCTCAATGGGCAGCAAAGCAATTCCAATAAACTAAAATATTTATCTGGCCTCAATTAGCAATCAAGGCATGTTTCTGAGATGAATAAGAGCAATTAGTGGTTAACAACATTGTTGACAGATGTTACATACTGAAATATGAAACAGCACTAGCTTAGATTGCATTAGGGGATAGTTGTCAAGTACTGAGAATTTATTATATTATCCTATGTATAATGTGATGAAATATTGATGAAAAAATGTAACATTTCATGACACTGGAGCTATTGTTTTGCAAAGATAAGCTATGAGTATGTTCACCATTGGCTGGACTTCTGGAGACTTAAGAATACTGTTGATTAAATCAACAAACCTTTATGAGAATTAATGTAATTTCACAAATTGCTGTGAGATAAAAGGGTGAGATAAGTCTGTATTTGTTACATTGTGGAATTAAAGCCAGGCAGTGCTTGGTGATACAGAATCTCTCTCTTAATAACTTTCTTACTGGCTTTACAAAATGTAGTTTATTGCTTGGCTTTTTTCCCAGAAAATAATAAATTTGTAGTCACTACGTCCAACAAAGGGGTAGCTTCACAATATTAATAATTTTAAAATATGAGTCATCAGTATGGATTTGCTTCTTTATTGTAATGACCAAGGAATGTCATTCACGCTTTGAGACACCAGAGGGAGCAAAGTGCAAACAGGGAGGAAGGAAAAATCCTATTTACAGCTTAATTCTGCTCGGAACGCAAAACCGTGGTTTGTTATTGTTGAATTGCGGTTTAACTGCATTTTTGAGCTTGTAGAAGTAACCTCCTTGTTTTGTCCTTCTCGTATATATTTAAGGGCTTTTTCCTTGCTTTAATTCCTCACTTCACGTTTTTTCCTTGCAAGATTATATGTGTAAAATGGATTTATTTTTCCTTCTTTGCGTTTTACTGAGGAAAAGTGTGGAATAATAAATTATATTTTTAAGGGGGAAAAACATGAGGGAGTTTTTGTAACAACTTTCCCAATTTTAAAATGTCTCATAATAAGGATCACGACCACAACTTTTCAAGTATTCTTGGTCCTGTAAAACCACACATATTTGTTTCTAAGAGTTCCTCACTTAATACTTTTGGGACATGAGAATCCAGGAGAAAGGAATTATCTATTCTGTTTTTCTACAGAAGCAGAAATATTTGGGTTTCTTATAGGTTTGTATTTAGTGTGGCTTTAGGGTATAAAGTAATTTTTTTTAAAAAAAAAAGAAAAAGCTGAAAATGCTGAGCTATTACTGGTTTTTTTTTAATTTAAGTACTTTGTATGTATTCGTTTAACAGAGATACAGGAAATAGGATGTCTCATACATTTTGATTTCTACTATGGTTTCATGGCTTTTCGTGACTACAAATATTTTAAAGTGAGCTGAGAAGAGGATTACAGTCTCAAAATTACGGATGCAGAGCTCATGCAGGTTAAGTGCAGTCATTGAGTGTCCCAGGAATGGAGGATTTTTGAAAACATTAAGCAGCATATGTAACTAATTGTGGACTCATAAGATTATCAGGGTTAGAAAAAATTCTGCTAAATAGCACAGTGGTCAAACTGAAGCTGTTGGTCTGTTTGCTCAGGAACTTTTGGGCTCACTTAAGGGTGGAGATGAAGGAGTTACTGAGCGTTGCCTGATTTATTGGTAGGAGCTTTGTTCTGCCACCTTTCTTTTTTTCTCATGTAGAACAACACGACTGACACCGAGAGAGCTGCCTGGGTTCAAGTGCTCCATTCAATCAGGAGTTCAGAGGGAGGATTGTATGAGCACCAACATACATGAAACGATGAAAAATGACACCTAGTTGAGATTTATAGTTAGGACAAGATACAGAGGCCAGGGTAATAAATCTGGTACAAAAGATTAGTAAAATTGAATTTCTTGAGGAAAAATAATTTAGGTACATGTTCTATGGTAATTTTTAAAAAATAGCTATGTTTACTCATTTTGAGAATAATGAAAAAAGGCACAAACTTTTTGTTGTTGTCTCAAACTTTTCATGTGCACTATGAAATACAGTTGTGTATTTTAGTATTTTTTTTCTTTTTTGTGACGTAAAATGTTTACCATGCTGTATTTTAAGAGATTAAGATCCTTAAACACCTGAAGTTCATTTGGAAATGAGAAATCATTGCTGTTTTCCAGAGCAAATCAGACACGAGCCACTAGAGGTCTCTGAATGTAAAATAAAAGCAGTCAAGGGGGTTGCCAAGGCTACAGCAGAACACGTGGAAGAGCAATGCAAGCGACTGGAAAATATTTCCTTTCATAGGGAACAGATTGGTACTTCTAACAGTGAGTTACTGAGTACAAATGTTTGATTTGGCCTCTGATAAGCTGTTTGTTTCTTCTGAAACTTATTCCTTCTCACTTATAATGAGCACGGTGTAATTTTTGTGTGGCAGGAAGCAATTTTACAGAAATCATACCAATGAGCAGCAATATTAACAAGGAAATAAAAACCTGTAGAAAATCTTGGTTAACTTGAAATAGATCCCAAAAGAGAAAATGCATATTTTTACGAGATTTATATTTCCTTGCAGGATTTAATGTCACTTTTTCTAATCTCTCTTGCTGCACAAAGGGTAAACGTTTTCTGGTCCAAAAAACTCCATCACTGAGGAGACAGAGGTCGCAGTGGAGGCAGAACTGGACCCAAACTTAAGGACTATAATCAGAGTCTATGATCCTCTTCCCAGTTAGTGCAGTAGTACAATGTTTGTATGTATTCAATTTCTGTTTATGCAAAATAGTAAAAATATTTTTCTTTTCACAGCATCCTTGATTGGAAGATCCAAAAGCATTGTACAAATGCTAATTCCAACACTATTCTCAAAAGACAGGTAAGTGGCAGTTTTCTGAGTCCTCATGAAATTGAAGTCAGGGAAGGGCAGATGTGAAATGACAGGCAAAATTTGTATAAAAAGATTCTTCATGTGTGAACTGAATAATCTATTTTTTTCTAGAATTTAGGATCAAATTTTAAAAAAATTATATGGTTTTTTTAATACCTCCAAGTATTCAATTATTCAAAATTTTAAAACTTGGGGCACTTATTTGCAGTTTAAATACCATAATATAATAAGATCAAACCTGTGGGATAAGTCTGTTTTTAGTCCAATAACCTACTATCTCCTGTGACTATCACAAATATGACAGGTGGAATATGAATCTATGACAAGTTATTGTATTTTTGTTTGCGTTAAAACTTCAGGATTATTTTATTGCTGTGACTTCACTGCAGTTTTGGAGATTAATAACAAGTAGATATTTCAATGAAATTTATATCTATATACTTGGTGCTTAATAACACAGAACATTTTGAAGTAGGGCCCTTGGTTTGTGTCCTGTTGGAAAAGGGTAAATGGAGTGCTTCAAACTCATTTATCAAGGTGATTCCTGCGAAGCCCAGAACACATCCCCTATTATCCCTAACCATAGTTGCTCCAATCTTTTGGAGACAAGGACAAAACTGATCTAATTTGTAGTTCCTATCTGCAATATTGCTCATAGTTTCTCAGGGTCAGAAATCAGCTGATTGATTTTCTGCTTATCCTGTCGCTCTGATGATGTATCTCTTGATAGCATATTTTGTTACAGAGTTCATTATTTCTGTCTTTTATCACTTACAAACTCTACTGAAAATTATAGAATACACTGGGGGATGCAGAGTCTATATTTCTGAAAGGCAGAAATGAACTGTCTAGGAGAAGTGAATTTTTTTTTTCTTGCTGTCGTGGTTGAATTTCTGTTCATGGGTTTCAGCTTTGTGTGTTATAAGGATCAACATAATGATAATATAACTATTTATCTTTGAATTTTACCTGAATTGTGCATAATATTTTCCTTATAATAGACAAAAATCTTCTCTCACTAGCTCTAATTTTAAACTAATGACTGACTTCAAGGGGAATGCAAAAATACACTTTATCACTTAGTCTTATGAGGTGACTGAAGTATTTCTTCATGTGCTAGTGTTGAGGAGATGCTGATGAATGATCAGCTGAAAATTTCACTGTCTATAATAATTTGCAAAGGAGCAAATTCTCTTTCTCCTCAAGAGAAGAACTTCAGAAGAAAAATAGCTAAAATGTTGGCGTTCCAAGGCCAAAACCTCTTTAAAAATACACATAGGTCAGCATAAAAACAGCCAAGAAAAGCTGGCTTCATGATGGTCTCAGACAGAAAAGTAGGGTATGCAAGGAAACTGCTCCTATATTCTGTATTTTTAATATCAATTGAAATTTGGATTTTTTTTTCTCACCAAGTTTATTTTTTAATGTTCTCTTTCATAATTGATATATATTAAAACAGGAGTAGGCTGTGTTTTCCTTTCCCTGTGAAAGTTAGAAGTTGTCTTCCACATTCTTTTGCAATCAGTATTCCAATGTTCTCTGTTCCTTGTTTTCCTTTTGCAACATATTATATTAAAATCTATGAGTACATGACCTTAGTTATTGCATTACGAGTATCCTGTAGACAAGAAACTTCCTGAAAAGAACAATATGTAGTTTTGCTGCCAAGTAGGTAAATCATCAGAGTGAAATCTCCTTGCTTTTGATGAATTAACTGGAAGATGGTGGCAGGCTTTAATCTGCTAATGTATGCTATGTGAATTCATATCAAAAAAAGAAGTTAAATAAAAAAAAGGCAGATCCTCACTAAAAAAGAAAATATGCTTACAAATGAAAAGAATCATATCATCCTCATATCAATTGAGAATTTGGCTTGGAAAATAATTAGATAGCTCTTTTGGAAGCTGATCACTCAACAGTGTCAGGTCTCAGGTGACACATCTATACATAACAGCATTGTTATACATATTGTTATAACATAATGAATAGAGTGAAGTCACTATAGGCAGTCTTGAAATAGTTTAGGTAAAAAATGCAATGTAAACAATTTTGCTCCTTTTTTTTTTTTGAATTTCTTTCTAAATTCTCGATTCTGCATATAGATCTGGAATGCTGAGACCTTTTAACTGAAGTCAACATATAGGGCTGAAGTGTTATATCAGGTATTAATAGGGAATTGTAGTATGGAAAAGGGAAAACATTGAGGAAGGCACGGCTGAGTAACAGGGTAATTAACTGAGGTACTGAAACTATCAGTTGGTGAAATGTGCATGTTGTACTGCAGCCTCTACTCTTATGCCCTTTAGCCAAACACCATCTTGACAGCTTGTTCCAGCTCAGTGCTTTTCACTATTCCTTTGTTAAATATAATAAATGCTTTTTCCAAATGAAAGAGCATTTGTACGTGCACTGTTCTGAGTCCACAGTGACCTTCTGCCTATGTTCAGGTATTCTCTGCATATTTCTTACCATAAAGTCACAACATCTTTCCCAGTAGCTTATGTAAAAAACAGCCATGGCATCACAGTAAAGTAAATGAGCCACAATGGCTGCTGCTGCTGCAGCTGCAACCCAAGAATTCAAGGAGAAAATTCCACAGGAAGGGCCCTGATATTTGAGGAAAGGAGTGGAAGAAAGGAAGAAGAGTCAAGTTTGCACAGTTTCAGAGAGACACAGAGATGCAGCTGTGTAACTTCGATTCATGCTAAGGCTTACTGTGAACTCTATTTACTAGTCAGCAGTGATTAGATTTTTGTTCCAAGTAAATATTTTTTTTCATGTGATCCAAATACACCATTTAGGATAATTTCTCAGCCAGTGTGTACCAGACTATCTTTAACCACAGTGGAATTCCACTGCTTTCATAATCTGGAAACCTGTCTCTAAAAGTCTCACACTGCTGTGGGAGACTTGATCAGAAGAGAATTCAGAAGAGAGAGATACAAATATATTAATCTAAAACACAAGACCAAAATGTAATATGCTGACAACTTCAGATTATGGCATAGTAGCATGATCCTAAAACAACATAAGTACTTCTTATGACATTTCTATGGAGGGAAAAAAACTCTACACATATTATACATAGTGACTGTAGATTTTCATGATGTCCTGAACTACATTTTCTTCAGTGTCACACTTAACAGTTTGACCTTGTGAACTGTCACAGAATCACAAGGAAACTCTCAATACCATCTAGTCCAACACCCCTGCTTAAAACAGGGTCAGCAAGAGCAGGTTGCCCAGGGTTTTGTTCAGTCAGGTTTTGGGTATCTCTGAGGACAAAAAGAGTCCACATCCTCTCTGGACAACCTATTTTAATGTTAAAATACCTCACAGGAAAAAGAGACTTTTCTCATGTTCTGGTGAAATTGTGAGTTTCACTTTGTGCCCATTGCCTGTTCACCTGTTAGTAGGCAACAATCACAAGAGTCAGTCTTGTTTGCAGCCTCCCATCAGGTTTTTATAAACGTTGATTAAACCCGTCCTACCTCCCAAAGGTTTCTCCTGGCCAGGCCAACCAGTCTCAGCTGACATTTGTCTTTTGAGGTGTGCCTTCCTCCAGACCCAGTTTCTTGGGGCTTCAGACAGCCACTCCTTAACTCAGATATATGCACTCCCCTCTACTCCAAGGACACTTCCTTACTTGGATTTAAGACCTAAGTATTCAATTATAATATAATGGAGAAAATTATATAAAAATACTATGTATCCGTGGAAATATATATACTGTTAACCACAATTAAAAACAAACAAAAAACCCCAGTATTAATCTGAACAACTAGTCATAAACACCACTATTTTTATGATATTTCAGTGTTTTGAGTATTGTTGTAAAATATTTTAACATTTTATGACAATATTTACAATCCTATGAACTGCTGCAATAGAATTAGAAATTCATGAAGTATAATAAAATCCAACTTTTTGTGCAATATTTATTCACACTGTTTTAGAAAATTAAGGCTACTTATGCCTAGCTATAGCAAATACTGTAAAATATGTGTTCTGACTATGTGACTCTGTGTTAAAAGATAAAAACCCCATGAACTTTCTGTATTCCAATTCAGATGCTTTGCAAGCATTAAAATCAAAGTGTCAGATCTCCAAAAGTATGTCCTTAATAAAATAGTTGCACTGAGTTTCTTATTTCTGGAAAAGATGGCATTTAGAAATTTGTTTAGACTGGAGACAGCTGCATACAGCAGATAGAACTTAAGGAAATGAGGGTGAGGAAATGAGGGTAAGCGAGCAGTTATAATATTTCTCTTTTCCTCTTCCATCTCTGTGTGTAGAGACGGAGAAGGAATTTGTCGTCAGTATTTTACTGCTCCATCAATTGATTGGCTTTGCTCCATGAGAAACATGGGAGGAGCGAGCAGCAAAAGTGAAACACACTTGCAGGGAGGGAACAGCAGCAGAAGAGTAATTTAATTCAAGCCAAACTATTTCTTTTCCTCTTGTGAAGAAAAAGCTGAATTCCAATGCGTGTTCTTTAAAGTATTTCTCTACTGAAATGGAACTTCTCTCTGTGAAAGGTAGGTTTTTCTTCTCGTAGAAGCTCTTTCACCCATCTGACAATATTTAGTACGTGGCTATAAAAAGTAACCTCACAGACTGGAGATGTGCATTGTTTAAGCTGATAAGAATATTTCTTGCAGTACTTCCTTCCAGGGAAGTCAAGTAAATGCAGTGTGTAAATTCTGCACTCTTGCAGTGCAGTTCAGCTGCTGCAGTGTTTAGAGTGCTGGTAGCTCAGCAACATTTTGGCCCCTCACCATTTGTGTGGAAAGTGAAAGCTTTTTTAGTGTGACAATGGTGGAATCATTCAGGCTGTTAGACGAACAGTCTGCAAATGTGGTGCAATTCCAGAGCATTCTTAGGGACGTTTAGGGAGAGATGAAAGCAAAAATAACTAATAGGAAGGTAGGTGAGGTTAAGGAAGTGGAAAGGATATTGGAAAACAGGGGCAAGCTTTTGGGAACCTTTGCATTGTAAAGTTGTTGACTTCTTGTTTTATTGGCAATTACTACAGTCCTAAGTGTAGCAGTGAAATATATCATGTATAGATTAGTGTATTGCTGGAGTTTGTTCAATTATTGTAGGACTGCAGTGATGTTCCACTCAAATTAAACTGAACTGTCTTACATACATTGATATCGCAGGAAAATTTAAAGAATATTTAGTTATACTGTTTAAAAGTCTAAATTTAATGAACTTTAGGAGTCAAATAAAAAATTATGACCAGGTTAGATCTTCATAATTATGATTATATGAATCCCAATCCTATTAATTTCAGGGCATTTTTCATTAATGGAAGAGATACCATAGTGTGAAACTTAAGGTTGCTGAGCAAAATCAGAATTTGAAATGTTCACTTTTTATTTGGTAAGGTATTGACTGAAGTGCATCCTTTCTAACAGCCAGAGTAAACACAATGTAATAAAGGATTCTTTGTAAGATGATAGAAGCTACTTTATATTATATACAGTCTGTGAGTCTTCTGTGTCTATTGGGAAGAATTTTGAACTAGCATTAAGAGGTGATGAATAGCACACTACCCTTCCTGGACACCTGCTCTTCATTCTGCCCTCTGTGTTGTATCCATGTATTTATTAAGTTCTTGTAAGGTGCAAAGAGTTTTCACATGTTCTCTTTCCCAAAGAATTCCGAGAAATCATATTACTGTCCCACAATGATGTTTATATTTTTTGAAGATTACTTGTTTTCATTTTTGACTGAGGTTTTTTATACCACATAAGTCCTTTAGATTTTATTTTTCATAAAATCCATTGGCGAGCATTGTTAAGGTATTATCTGAAAATAATATATTTTTTTTTTTTTATACAGTGAAAAAAGGAAGGCTGGATAAAATGACTGGTAAGTTTAATTTCCCTTTAGATTTCTGCTTTACATTTTTCTTTCTTAGGCATGCATGTCTGTGTCACGCTAAAGAATCACCTAAGCTTGGGACTACTTTAATATATTTGATCAACAGTTCAATAAAAATGAATAAATGTGGAAAGAATTAAAGATTATACATATGTTTTAGAGATCACATTATCTTTACAAGGTTGTGGCCTCAGACAATTGGAGATTGTGTCTGAATTTTCCCAGAGAGGAAATACAGGTTGGAGATACTGATGGACAGTTATAGAGATCAGGTGTGTGCCCCAGCCAATAAATATGAGCAAAACCAAGCTGCCCAGAACTCCCTAAGTTTGTTTCCAGGACCAAGATTTAGCCAGGATGGAAAAGAAAGTCCAGACCCAGCCAGAGGTTTCTCACACAGAGGTGGACTATAAATTTAAGGCCTTCAAGACCTTTGTAATTACTAGTTCTCAGGAGAAGCTGATATACAATCCAATCAGTGCAGCAAAATTTGCTGGTTAATATATTTAAGCAAATGCAAGTTGTTTAAAGTTATCTGAATTAAAGGAAGGTAACCTGAATGGGCACAGATCAAGCTGTTTGTTCTTGATACTTCTAACAGCAGGCTGTGAAATCTTTGTACAAAGTATGGACTGAAGAATCTTCTCTTTTTCTGAAACCCTAATGCAGTCAGAAAAATGTTCTGCAGGGTTCAGCAAATCTAATATTTTGTTGATGCTCAAAAGAGGTGATAATGTACAGAATATGACTATCAAACAGAATAATTTGATAAAAGAGATGTAGTTTCAAGTTTCTTTTGAGTGCTGTTGAAGACTTGTTAACACCATAAATAATAGCAATAAAATTTGAATGGTGTATTCTCTGATAATTGGTCATGTTTTCTTGGGCAGAACCATTACGCAGGTGGTGACCAAGAGCAGCCTTGAAATACCCTCATGTTTCTCAAAATTCAGTGATTATCCTCTAGTTTATTTACTCCTTTGTGTAAACTGCTGTGAAGCTGCTGTGCTGTGCTCTGGGTTGAAAGCTGAAGGTCTGAGCAAGTGGATAACCTGCTGTTTGACAAAAAGTTGCACTACGTGCCTCTGTTTTTTGACAGCTGAAAGGTTTGGGAGCCACAATAATGGCTTCATGGAAACAAAACTGCAAAATTGACAGCTCCTTTCTGCTGCCAGGGTATTTTAATAATATTCACCCTGGGCAGTGTTATTCCTCAAGGAGGTTATATACTCACAGTTATTTACAAGGTAGAGTATCTTTTTCTTACTTGACACAACTCATGACATCTAAAGAAGGTGAATTAGTTGTAAAGCACTGAAGGGTAATATTTAGATCCAGAGAAGAGCCAAAGAAGACAAGGAACTACTGGAAAAATAGATATTTTAAAAAACAAATGGCAGGGTTTCAGGCAAGACAATAATGCAAGCTGTCCAAGATATTTTTATTTTTTGTGATAGAAAAGGAGGTGGGGAAAGATACAAGGTGATTAAGTTTGGTCATCTTGTCTGGTCCATGAAATTGTAGTTGAATATAAAGATAATAGTATAATGAAACAGACTACCACTAAAATGTGTCTTTAAGTTTCTATCTTGTCATTTATGGCTTCATTTAAGGGACATATGTTTTAATTATGAGGGAGGTTGGTTATTGTAGTTTTAATTTACATGGGTGCTCTAAATGGCTGAAGTTAAAGACTGTGGGTTGCTATTTTTCAGCCAAGTCATTTAGAATTCTTTGGAAAATTTCTCAAACCTTGAGTTGCAGCTAAAAAACAAAGTCCTGTTTGAGAGGACTGGTGCACTGAATTATAGAAAATAAATAGATAACATTGGCCACTGTTGAATGTGTTTATTGAACAGAATAGTTCCTGTTACATGATATCTTTTGTCCTTTGGACAAACATTATAATCAGTTCTAATCAATAAGATCCACACACAGGATGTACACAGCTAACTCTTCTCCTTCACACTTTTTGTTAACTGCAGTGTAATTTGATACAACCTATTCAGTAATCTGTTGTAGACATTGACACCTTCCCTGTAATTCAGACTGTTTGACTGACCTGTGGTAAAACACACAGCTCAAAAATTCTGTTCTTAGCTACCTCTTGTATATATATTTTGGCAGTAGTTCTATTAAAAAAAAAAGGGTTTTTTCAGTCCTCTGTCAATGTTTATCCTTATCTAGGATGCTGGAGGGTAGTGAAGGATGTGTTACCTGCATGCAAGCTAAAAGGCCACATTCATTGAGATGATATAATACACCTTTTACCACCTTAGATTCCTGTGTGAGGCCCTACAGGATAGAGCTTTCTCTCAGTTCTTTTGCTTTTTTCTGGCAGTGATATTTTCAAGCCCTTTGAAATTTTTAAAATTTTATTCTTTTTGCTGATTGGATCCAATTTATGAATACTCATACTGTGCTTTTACAAAGGCATTTACAAAAATATATGAGTTCATTTGGGGCTGCATCTGAAACCCATTTTGCTGCTGCATCTATAACAGAACTACATTCATGCACCAAGGCTGAATTACATATTACAAGTCTGTGGCCTTGCCTTAATTGGACATAAAATCCCATCAGCCAATCATCAATATTATCATAGCAATGGAAAGGCAAACGAAGTCCTAATCTTCAGAAAAGGAGTTGCATGCTGGTTTCATGCAGGACCTGTCAGGGAGATTGATAATTAAACCCTTACTGCTTTGGGGTTAAATTTCTAGCTTCTGGAAAGAACTAAAGTGAGGTTTGATGTGCTGGTTGTTTCTTTTTCAGATGCATCCAAAACCTATGTTGTTTTAAAAGTCCAAAATTTGAAAAGCACTACAGTCGATAGACAAGGAAGTGACCCTTGCTGGGAACAAGACTTCATGTTGTAAGTAACAGGGAATTCTTACCAATTGATTTTGTTGTATCTTTGTTGTATTTGTATAGTTCAGAACAGTTTAGTACATGCAAGGCCATGTACAGACCACAGAAGGAAGGAAAAAGTATCCAGCTCAGAGAAAAGGTGCAGATTAGCCCTGGGGAACAGAACTAAAGTTAATTTTGCAAGGTATATTGCAGATCAAGGCCAGGACCAACAAGGGGAAGAATTTGTCTCCAAATTTAATTTAATATAATGTTGTAGGAATACAGGAATGAGAATAAAGAGAACTCAAATTGATCCTCAAGCAGCTTGATTTTTGTTCACTCAATTTCCTTTTGATGTGACTCATATTTTATGCATTAATTTATCTCCTCAGCAGCCAGTTTAGGCAGTTGCTTTATTACTGACCCCTGCTCTTTCTCACTTCTGTCTGCAGATCTTTGTCTGCTTCACTCAGCTCTCCATCTTGTTACTCTGTTGTTATTGTCCTCTTTTCTCTAGAGCCTTCTACACACCTCACTGGTCAGGAGGTCCAAGCATTTATATACTGCCTGACATTCTGAGGAAATCTGCTTCCAACTGTCAATTCCAAAGCAGTTAAACCCAATAAATAAAATCTAATTAGATCCTGACTTACCACATTAATCTCCACCATTTTTGGTCCCTTCTTTTTCCCTGTGCAAATCTTTCCCTGTCACCACATTCCTGTTGTGGGAACATAAATTTAATTCCTGAGGTCTAGAGTTGGTTGAAATATTTTTGGAGAATTCAACATTTAATTTGCTGTAGTTCTTCTTATGAAAAAATGTCATTTTTACAATTTTGGGTATTTTCTAATCCAAGTATTTTAATATTTTGTCAGACACATGAGTTGTTTTGAATAACTTTTTCGTATTTTCTGGTTACCTGAAGAATGTGTCAAAATATTAGTTAATACATCGCTTTGCTGTTGTTTAAAAGGTTTTCTTTTTATCATATTATATGTAAATGAGTGTTGCATGATATCATTCAAAATGAGCAATTTATTGGGATTATTTTCTTAGTTGGCAATGTAAATCTTGCCAAAGAATACTAAAGCACTTTTCTAGCATGTTACAAGGTTCCTGTAGCTCCATCTACTGCCTGCTCATCTATACAGCACAGCAGGCTTTTAAAAGGGATTCACAGTAGGCATTTACAAATACATTTAAGTAGACTTTGGTGAGTCATACTGTAGTTCATTTTCTTAAGGGCTGTCACTCCATCTCTCACAGTAAAAACTATGTTCTGTTACACACAGATATTACCAGCTTGCATTTTAAAAATTGCGTATTTTTTAACCTTTCAGTCTGCACTTTCATTGTTGTTGGTGCAACAATTTTAATGTTGGGGTCTAAAAATTTACAATCTGTCTTCCATAACATATTTATAAAGAGAGAAGATGAGCAAACCAAAAATTCAATGTATCTATTCAACTGCATGAATACAGCAAAAAAGTAGACATTGATGCAGCCAACATAATGATTTTTGAGAGCGATGTGATGAGTCAAAAAGTTGTCTCAGAGGTGGCAGCCCTTGCCCTTCTCAGATTTCATTTGTCTTTTCCTGATAACTTTAAGCACACAGTAATTCTCTGTGATTCACCACACAATAACTTGAAGATTATTTTAATACAAATTAATTCAGTCAAATGAAGATTATGTGCAATCAGTCACAGCAGAGGCACCACTGCCTACTATTTTATGACTATATAGGAAAAAACCCACCTCTGTATCTCCTGTAAGTCACTAACTTATTATTATGGATTATTAAGCAGTTGAAACTGCGTTTTCAGATTCAGTTTAATGGTTTCTGTATTCATTCTTTTTAGTGAAATCTGTGCTGATGGAAAGGGCTTCCTTGTAGAGCTGTGGAAGAAAGGCTTGCTCTGGGATACCATTTTGGGAGTTTTATGGATTCCCCTTGCAACTGTGGAATATGCAACAGATGTAAGTTGACTTTCTGTGGAATTATAGAACACTGAGTAAACTCCAACAAATTTCTCATTCTTAATCTCCCCAAATACTGTAATGACATTTGTGATCAGTGTATACTTCTGTCTCCTTTGCTCCAGTCTGCAATGGTGAGGCATAATGTACATGTGACTCTTAAAGTGACAACTGAAATGCTTTATCCAAATATCCTGGAGAAATGGCTCAGATACTGAGCCAGGTATTCCACAGGCAGTGAGTTAGTTCATCTGCTCTCATGAACTGTTAGGGAGACCAGGGTGGTCTGGTTTATATGATTAGAGTGAAAGAGTTTTAGATTAACTTTCCTGGCCTGGCTCTTCATTGTGTGACTTTGGGTAAATCTCTACTGAAGCGGGCAAAATACTGTTGTTCTCTCTCTCAAGGGAATTGGCCATTGTCTCAGAGAGGAAAACTGAAATTTGCCCAGTGGAATTACAGAAGAAATTATAGAGTGCATAGAGAAGGCTGAGTGGAGAAATTGGCTCAATATCAAGAGTTATGTATCCAGCATAGTCAGTTGGCCACCAGAGTGAGCATACTTGCCCTCAGTAGGATATCAAATAAGGAGAAAAGGTTTCTGGGACTGTGGAAATACAGAAGCAAACTGCCTGTGCTGCAAAATTTTCTGAATTCAGAAAACATAAGAGTTACCTCATTCTAATATTCCACAATTCTCCCATCCATGAATATGCTCTGCTACACATAGTCCATGGAGTCTGTTTTTAAAGTAGCTCTGAATGACAGAAGATTAATTTAATCTTTGAAAAATTTTTTGCCTTCTTTAATTTTTCTAAAACATAAAAAAGGTGATTGAAGATGAGGTAAAGGAGAGAAAATCAGAAAACAACTTCCTACAGTATCTCTCATCAGACCCTATAGCAATTTCTTTACAGGAAGTAATAAATATTCATATATACATTGAACTGACATTTAAGTGATTCTACTCAGAAAATGGAAGCAGAGGAAGAAAGTAGTTCCTGCTTAAATTAGAAGTTGCTCTGTATCACAGCTGCCAAGTGCCATTTCCAGCCCCAAGGCAAGTGGTTCTGCTCTGCTGCCCTGGCTGTTGTTGAGTTACAACTTGCTGACACAGAGATTGTGGCTTACTAGTAAATATTGAAACTTTAAACAAACACAGATGAAAGATAAGAGACTTTTTCTTAATTTCTTCAGATCCTCTAAACCTTCATTTATAATTAATCCACTGCGGAAGTTTCCTAGTTATGCTGCTTGTCTTAACCCCACAGTTCTGTTCTGGGCTTTATAGCTCAGAAATAAACTATAAAGGAACGTTACTTCAGAAACAAGGTTTTTTGGCTTTGTTATTAGTTTATATGGATTGTTTCAGTCTTTCTACAATGTACTTTTTTGGCACCAGTTCAAAGGGAAACTGGAAAATCTGAGTTGATAAGTGTAATTTTCAATATTCATATTTCTTGTGTCTTAATCATCTGACAACCCTAATGTGTATTCATCTCTGTTGTAGAGCAAATGTTATATTATTTTGAATTCAATGGCTGTGAGAAAACTTGATGAAGTCCTAAGTAATACTTATATAAACAAAACCTGTAAGAGTCTAGAACGGATATTTAAATATATTGTTGTTACAAAGAAACTCCTATTGACTCAGGGGAAACCTCATCCAGTAAAAAGTGGATAATCCAATAAATTCTGCCCAGGTAATTTTCATAACTTCTTTTTCCTAGGAAGGCCCGGGTTCCTGGTGGACCTTGCATTCTGAAGTAATAAAAAATGGAAGTGAGATTCAAGGCACAAAAACACCAACTTCACATGAGATCTTACTAGATGTCTACTTTGCATTACCATTTGGTGAGTTACAGATTAATATCTCCCTCCAGCATTTCAGCCATTCTATATTTTACTCTAAATTTCTGAAATACAATGCCAAATAGAAATTTTTCTGTAGAATCCTAGATGCTTTTTCATCACTGGGGCATTTGCGCAATTGATACCGGGAATTGGTACTGGTAAGTAATGGAATCACTGAGAGCCACTTCTACAAGAAGCTGGATGAAGAGCTTCACTGGGTAATGTTCATCCACACATGGATGTGTCTTCCACATAAGTATCCACATAAATATCTCCTTAAGGCTCAATACAGAGCCTGTGTGTTACAGCACATCAGCTGTTTGCATGACGTAAATTGTAGTAAAATCCAGGGCTTTCACAGCATTTTTTACCTTACTAGCAGATGTTGTCTGCCTTTATGAATAGTGCACGTGATGATGTAAACTATATATATGTATGTGAAAGTAGAAATGGAAACTGAACATCAAATTATACATCACCACACATTATTTCCAGATACAATACAAAGAGATAGACTTTATTAAGATTATCAATCCATCTATATGGTAGTCTATGCCAAATAAGTTCTCAAACATAAGTTAGCTTAACATTTTACTCTTTAATGTAGTCTAATGAACTACATTCTATTATATTATTAGTCTAAAAAAGACTAATATTAAAATTTACAAAAGAATAAATTTTAAAAAAGTGAAGAAGAGAGAATGAGAAACATTATTTATCTCTTGAAAGGAGGACTAGAAGGTTTACCAGCTGTCTAAGCTTCTTTTTGAAATGCATTGCCTGAGACTGAAGTTGGCAATACTTACAGCTCATGCTGATTTAAGTAGAGTAGTTATTTCTGATGTTTCTGGGTGTAGTTTGCATGACTACACTGCTGTTAATAGGTGAGGTAGAATGCATATCTTTTCACAGAGTGACTGTGGGCTGTTATGGATTCTTATGAGTTACAACAGGGCCCAGTTTTTTTTTCAACAAAAAATTACTCCTTCTTTACTACTTCCTAGACAATAAAGCATTTAAAAAGATAACCTAAGCCCTAGTCACACTCTATTTTTTGTTTGCTTGGTTTGCTTGGTTTATTTTCCCCAGCAGCCACAAGCAATTTTCAGTTGTCTGAGTAAAAATTCTTGTGGAAGAACATTTTCATGCTATTCACATGTGCCTCCGTCTTTCGCTTATGTCATAATTTTATTTCATTTAAGCATGATGGAAAGTGTACAGAAGACAAATGGACTGAGTCTTTAAGCATAAAAATAGGCTATTAGAACAAAGAGGCAGTTTATAAAGAAGATGACAGAGAAGGACAACAGTTTTTCCACTAACAGTGGAATGCCCATTAAAAAAGGAGAAAAAAATGGTACAAATGGTACTTTTATGGCATAGGTCACCCAGAGAAGTTGTAGATGCCTGGAAGTATTGGATGGGACTTTGGACAACCTGTGGTAGTTTTTCCTGTCCATGGCAGTGGGGTTGGGACTAGATGATCTTTAAGGCCCCTTCCAAATGAAACCCAATGATTCTTGAAACCTCCTTTGAATCAGCTGAATATTTTAAGTAAGTCCTTACATAGTTTTCATATCTAGAAACCTACTGTAAATCTGTTACAGGAACTCTAATTGTATGTTTGTAAGCTGTGAATTCAGATTGTTACCAATTTCAGGCTGATACTTGGAGGGAGTGTTGGTTTGTATGTTGCAGTTTGTCTTCTGTTTTCAAATAAAAACATTTGAAAGTGTTCTAAAGACAGTCCCTGGGACTGCAGTCTCGGAGCACTGGAAATCCTGTAGAGGTCACTCTTACACTAGTTTTCTGCATAGAGGAGGGAATCCTAAAGCTTTATGCCTCCATTATTGAGAAAGCCACGTTTCCCCTCTACCGGGAGTTTAACTTGGACATTACATTTCGATGGCTTACTCTGTTGAATGGCTCTCAGCTCAGCTGCGAGCAGCTGAGGGTCTGTCCTTGACTGTTGGAGTCAGTATCGCCTCTTTATGATGACAAAGTTACATCGGGAAGGTAGAAGGCTGCAGTTACTTCTGACGGTTCCTGAGAGATGTCTATTTGAGAATGCCAGATACTGCTGCTTTAACAATATGACTTCATTTGGACTTGAAGCACTTGTGTGTAGTAACAGGGAAATGTTTTTACATCATCAGCTCACCATGAGTGCTTCTTTCTAGAAGTATCACCTGATGTCTGATGTGGTAGCAACAAAATTGTCATTTCACCATTGCCATTTATACTAAGCTCCATTAAAAGGCTGCTAAGTAGAATGAGGATCTAGTATATTTAAAATTCTGCAAGCAAAGTCACAGTAATAAAATCCTATTTAGATAAATACTACAGCTCGATTGCAAACATTTTTAATGTGTCTAAAACTCAAGTTTTTTTAAAGATAATCAGGGTTTTTTGGAAAATACAATAATTTCACTTCAATTTTATTAGGTCTTTCTTGTAAGAGACAGAAGAAAATTTACAGGACATATCTTATTTTTTTCTTAAATTCAGTGTTAGAGACGTATGGCATGCTCCTTAACATTCAATTACACCTTACATAAAGAGTATAAGAAATTAAAGAAAACTTCAGTGAAGTGAATTGTAATTTGCAATAGCTATAATTCTGAAAATCATTTATGTGTCTTGGGAACTAAGATCTCATTTTGACAAGTAGCCTGCTGAAAGTCAACAGAATTTTTACCTCATGAATAATTTTGGAATATACCATGCAGGTATTCACCTCTTAGGCTTGGCTGAAATTCAGCTCATTGTCACATTTTTCATATATGTTAATTAGCAAATGAGGTAACAATAATAAAGGAACAATGATAGGATTAATCCCTGTTTCTGCATTAGTCACCATACTAAATCACTGATACACCAAGGGATTAGCAAATGACAACATTAATTGTTCTGATACCATTTTGATCAGCATAAACCAAGGTCCTGAAAAATCACAATGAAGTGATTGGGAAAACTCATGTGCCAAAGTATAGAATTCTAAGTACAGACCACTTTAGTTAATGCAGTAATTCACATATTATAAGTATATATTACATATGTATATACTTACAACCTAAACATATGCTTCCATACTTACATAACCTTACATATAACCTAAAAGTTGTGATTAACTTTTGCAGAAGGAAAATCAAAAGATCCTGTTGTTTTCCAAAGTATTATCTCTATCTTCTCCTTGTTTCACAACAGTGTTGCACTCGCTTTGAGCAAAATATATGACACAAATTTTTGGCAGCTAACCTCACAGTGTGAGAGGAAATAAATCAAAACATAGTTCCTAATACATAACAAAACTTTAAAAGAAAAAAAAAGAAGAAAAAAAGGAGAAAAGACATGGGCACACAAATTTTTCTCATCATTGTGGAAGAAAATGCCCCCACAATCAAGGGGCACAACCCCTTCCTCTCACTACAGCTAAAAGGATGATTTATAGAGCAAAATGATCATCTTGGAACTCTATTTCTGCTGTTCTCGTCATAAGTGATTTAATCATTATAATGTTTGTAATTGACTTCATTAATTCCCTATTACCGTAAATTTAACGAATTAAGTTAATTAATTTAATGTGTACTTCCTCTTTTGAGAAGTAAAATGGGCTGAAAGATTTCTAGCAGCTTTTTCCTTCTCTGCAGATACCCACAAAGACTTAGATTGCAGAGCCTGGCACAGAGAGCCACCCCTCCAAAGTACAAGACCTTCACATCAAGATGCATTTGATATTTGGCCACCCGTGGAAAGTGGTCTCAGCACACAAGAGAGCAAACCAAGGTATTTTGCCTTGTCACATCTGACATGTATGATAACGTTTGTTGATTTTTTTAAAATGTCTGAATGCCAGAGTGATACTTTACAATCATTTTAAGCAAGAATGTGACTTACAAACTTAAAAAGTTTCATAAACTTATAAACCCATAAGGGATATATTTCCTTATTATGGTGGGACAGAGCATGATAAATCTTCATATTCTAATGAAAGAAAAACCATGAAGGATACTGTCTCCTGTGAAACCACTTTGCAAACATGTGCCTTCTCAATAAATCTTTGGTGGTAAACAAAGCGGATTATAACCTACAAAAAATGTAGGCATTAAAGAAAAGGCAACCAAACTTATATTTGACTAATTAGTACAAGACAAGAATATAAACTATTAATGATACAAAAGGGGTAAATACCATTCTAGACTGTTCTGCAACGGATTCTGTGTATATACACATGCTTTCAGAAGTGCAAGGGAATTGATTGATTGGTGTTCATTTAAGGTGATTTTTTAAAGGATAATGTTTTAAAGACAATGCAGGTATTAATTAGCTTTGCTATTTTCTTTTATGGCAGATACATGTATATCTGTCCTGTTCTCACCCTTGGGCATGTGTCTACACAGAGTTCACCTATTCAATAGCGACTTTCTGAAAACTTAAGAAGGGTAGCAAGTCCTAACATGATTTAGATATTGTAACTGATTGCATCTGGAAATCAGGAAAGACATTTGATTCCATTTTTGAAGCTAATATATTTACCTAGACAGGCTACCTTCAGTTTTGCAAGTTTTCCAGAAGAGAATTAATATTTTCTGTCTTTTTGCTTTGAGCAAACACAAATGCTGTGAGGAAAAAAAAAATAAGGAAAAGATAATTGCTGTCTTTCTGCTTCCCTGAGTGTGGAAAATGGTGATGCATAAAGAGAGGAAGGGGAAAGGTGGCAAAATTGTATTACTTTGATGCCATCACCTTCTGCTGAGTGGAGTTGAATGCTCAGGAGGGAGTCCAGTCAGCCTCTGAGAACATCTCTCAGCAGTGGTCTCTGAGCAGAGAGAGCCTTCTATGCCTTGGTATAATCACTTCCCTTCTCTTGCAAAGGCAAACTGGGGAGACAAAAATTTTTCTATCTCTACTGCTCATTTTGGCTTTCATGTCAGCTGTCACAGACTGTGTTACATTTCATTATGGTGTCCTTTATCTATAGTAGTGCAGGAAAGATACTGTGAGCAGCTGACACTCAAAAAAGGTGTTTTCTTGATGAAGGATAGAACAGGCTCTTGGGAAAAGCAGCAAGAATATATGGTGTGTCAGGCACTTGACTCATGTTTAAGTCGTACCTAACAGCAGTGGTACCAGAAAATTAGCTCAAACACAAGAGAAAATAGGATAAAACCTCTTCCATTACGAAGTTATGTGTTCTCTGAGGCAATAACATGTGGATGCTCTTAAATGACCTTTTCATGGACTGTAAAAAAGCAGAGTCCATGTAACATCAACACAAAATTACTAGGAAACAAATGAGTCTGCAAAAAGATCGTCAAGCACATGGATGCAGTGAGTCAGAGACTGTACATGGACAAGGTGCCACAGCATCTCTTTGCTTCTTGTCATCCTTAGCCTGTTTACATTTACTAGTAAGTCCTTACAGGGTATTTGCAGAGAAGTACAAGTGCCTCCTTAGGGGGAGAGCTGTCAGTAATGGCAGCATTCAAGAGCTGCTTCTCTATGTTTTTCTAAGCACATGTCCAGTCATTAGCATATCATCTGGGTTGACATGTATTTTTCAACAGAGATCTGAGCCTCTGAGCAGGTTAAGTTAAACCAAAAGAAGTTAACCTGATCTGACTATGGAATTATTTCCTTTCCCTCTTTGTACCAAATAATTTAATTGAATTCAATTAAACCTTTATATTAATAAATTAGGAGTAAGCACTGAACTACATATTATTTTTAAGTGAAAAGTTATTTCATCTAATAATAGGTATTTTCAAAGATTATGAGCAGAAAGATTATGATTGTTTTAAAGTTTACTTAGAGGTGTGTATTTATTCAAAATAACTGTTTCATACTAAAAGTCTGAGGAGTTAGATTACACTATGTGTTTTGAATAGCTCTATTAAACACCAGTTCAGCTATCCTGTAAATATTCAAGTATTAATGGGGATAAAATTTCTTCATTAAGTTTTTTTACACTGGTATTTATTTGTCAAGTCTTTGATTGTATATATAAATGGTGTTTATGGCAGTTAACTTTAAATGTAGACTGATAGCTAATGAAGTGTAATTGATTAACTTTTTGCAGAAAGCATAAACTCACTAAATCAGATTTTGAAGGATGTGGTAAATTATTAAGTGACTTCTTATTAGAGCAATATATTTTCTCCCAGAGGCTTAAAAAGAAAAAAAGAAATGAGAGAGAGAGAGAAAGGGAAAATACTGGTAAAAAAAAAAAGCAAACAAAAAACCCCTAAGTTTTTCTCCCATTTAATGTAATCAATGAATGAATGACTGTGAATTTATAAAAATTAGCAATCAAGTATTTATTATATACTTCATTCCAGCTCTGTACAGTAACCATATGATAAGTCAGTTGGCTCTTTCTGTTTGCATCATTAGTATCCAGTGCTGAATGCTACTACTGGCAAGAATGAGGATTTCACGAGTAATCTCTTTGGTACCACTGAGGTAGAAATATGTTACTGTATATCCAGAACTGCCAGAAATTTCCAGATATGCCTGTTAATCAGAAACTCGAGTGAATGGCATAAAATTGATTAGGGGCATTTCCAAAAGAGAGAAAATGAAACAAAAATTTCCTTTAAAAAACAACAAACCGACCCCAAAACCAAAGAAGTACAGCAACATGGACAAGGATCTTTCTTTTAAAAATAATATTGATTTGTCCTGTGATACTTGTCTTCTCTGCATAACTGAAAATCAGTCATTGGACAAGGAGAAAAAAAGACTTTGTTATATTTAAAAAAAAATTAAAAATCCATTATTCGGGTTTATTTATTTCTACCTGCATAGGCTACATGAGTAGATATCATACATGCATACACAGGAAATGAAGGAGGGATATGCTGCCCACAAACCTGTGCTAGATCTATAGAGATTTTATGGACAAATTTGGATTTGAGTAACTGATACTGAAGTGTTTGGTTTTAACAGTGTTTCCTCTGATCTAATGTTTTGGGTGGTGGTAACTGTTGAGTGTTAAAAGGAGATATATTACTAAAAGTGGACTTCATGACCTGCAACCATTGCAATGTTGTTTTCAATGTAATATTCATTAAACTGATATTAATTAAAGCAAATTAGTGATCTGTGACAGCAATATACAGGTTTATTTTTTCAAACTGATGAATACTGAAAAGAAAGCTTGAATGTGATGGACTTAGAAGTTTCTTAATGCTTGGAGCATCATGAGCATTAAACGGCCTTTTAAGAACGTAATTAATCTTCCCTGGCTTTAAATACAGAAAGAACCAAATGATTGCTAAGGTCTAAATTAATTTGAAGTGATCACTTTACAGCCATTTCTCCAAAAATCCGTTTCATTATTCATGCCTAGATAACAGAAAAATTGATGGGCAGGCATAAAATTATTTCTAAACCATGAAAATTTCCATCTCTGCCACTTGGCTACAGGTTATGAACTCCTTAAACTAAAGCCATATTTCCAGTACACAGCCATAGCTGTTTAAGCAGATAATGTTTGTCCATGTAAGTTTGTTTTCTGTTCTGATCATTCATTGAGAGATTGTTTCTCAAAGTTAAATTACAGAATAGTTCAGCATAACTGATCTTGCATAATGTGTTGTTGTTTCCTTTCATATTTACTGCCAAAAAGAAATAAGGTCCAAAAGAAAGTAAAGAAGGAGGCAGGGTAACAAAAGTTGTGTGTCACATGTAAGCCTTTTAGCTATGACTGTCCACCGGTTCCCAGCTTTTCAGAACTGGTATATTATTTTTAAAATATAAAAAGCAGATGACATTATAATTAGTGATGGGTGGGTTTGCATTTAATTATTATTCTGAGGCTGTTCTCTAAAATGCAGATAGTTTAACTCATGTAATACTTCTGTGTTCCAAAGGCAAGGTAAAATGGTTGTTTACATCAAAACACATGAACCAAGAGATATGAAATATTTTTACGTATTAAAGAGCATGATCTTTCCTGCTCTGCTGTCCTTTCCAAGTTCAGTTCCACCATCTTGCTTTTTGCAAATGTGTTTCCTTCAGATGTTCTGTACCCTAGAACTATTGCTTTTGATTGGAACGAAAATAGTATTTTAAAAGACTACTTTAAAAAAAAAAAAAAGGTTCCAAAGAATTTTAAAGAATGTTGCAGTAGCTCTCTACAGCAGGAAAACTATAAACAAAATTTAAGCTTAGAACTGGAGAATAGTAAATCTCATAAATATAATTAATTTGAAGTTGAAGCAATTTTTATGGGTTTTGTTATACAACTCTATAACTATGTCAGCTTTACAATCATTATCAGTTTTATTCTTACATTTTAAAAAATACTCGGTTGCAAAAAAAATACAAAAGAAGATAAATTAGCAGTTAAAAATATAGAGAGAAAACATTGTACTTGAAAGAGATTGAGAAAAAGAACATTGAGGGAATTGAGAAACATTTAGGGAATTGAAGATTCTGTCAGAAAACAACAACAACAATGAATTATGTATAAAACTGCTTAGAAGTGTAGTAAAGAACAAAACAGCTTTACTTTGCAGTTAGAACAAATTATGGTGAGCTCATATGACATGTTGATGTGCATTTTCTTTCCTGAAGTTGTCCCAAATAGATTTTGGTAAGTTATTTTTGTAGCTATTTTTATATCTCACTATTATTATGGTCTTTCATTAGCTAAAACCATAAGGAAAAGAATCCTACAGATGTTCAACCTGATGGAATTATGACTAGTTATATCTTTCCATGTTTTTGTTTAGAAGAAGAGACAGATTGAATCTATCTAAGGATCTATTTGATATAGAAGT